AAAAAAAAAAAAAAAAAAAAAAAGTCAAAAGGAAGAATTCTATTATTAATACTGAACACGAGAAACACTAGGTTAGGTAGCGAAATGGTTATGGGATAATGAGGTTTTGTAGGAAGTTAGAAAATATGGTGAGTGATAAACACGCAAATTGGAATGATGCGGATCCAGAAAAAATATTTGAGGGGGACTAAACTGTTATTCAGTTATAGCTATTTAAGAAATATAGTTTGGTTTGATTTTTGAAAATTTGAGGCTAGACTTAAACGAGACGAGTTTGTAGACCAAGTTTATAGTCGTGTTCACAAACAATTCGATTAGGATTTCAGAATTAAAAATTTGGATTTATTAAAACAGTTGGAGTGGATGAGCCGGGCTTCACCTCGCAATTTTTATTTATTTAATAAGTGAGAAGAAGTAAAGTTTACTTAATAAATGAAAGTATATAATAAAGTGGCATCATAAAATTGCATAATCATTTAAGTTGTTAGTATACAAATTGTGTTAGCACATTCTTTCAACTCATAAAATTCACTAACAATTAATTCGGTAACAAATTTAATTATAATTTCTCATTCAACCGCATGAACTTACAAAACACGCATGCTCTCTTATTTCAAATAGTGAATTTTTTAGTATTAACATTTCTCAAATTCAATTTAATTAAACCTTAAATTACTCAAAAAAATACAAACAACAATTATACTATGAAAATAATATCTCAAAAAAATATAATGTAGTTTTAAAATGGGGAAATTCTACTAGAAGGCCTAACTTTTAGTAATTGTATTAATCTAGGGCCTGAATTTTTACTTTTTCAATAGAAGACTTACATTTTAGGTTATTCTTACTTTAAGGCTTACATTTTAGTTAACTTTTCTTTATTAGGCCCAACTAATTTTACATTTTCATATAAATATGTAAAACAACTATTATGTGAATAAATTATTATTATTATTATTATTATTATTATTATTATTATTCATTTTGTAATTTATATTTTTTTGTTAATTCAAAAAATATGTAATGGAAATAGTATTTATATTAATAATATGAATATGTAATAAAACTAAAAAATAATATATACATATATATATGCAATCTACAAAAATATATAATTTTCAACAAGTATCAACTTTTGCTTTCAAAAAAAAAAAGTTGAAATTAATTTTTATTAAAAAAATTTACTGAAGATATTTATTATTTTTTATTATAAGTATGCAAAATATAAATTATATAATAATAATAATAATAATAATAATAATAATAATATTTTATTCACATAATAATTATTTTACATATTTATATGAAAAAGTAAAGTTAGTTGGGCCTTATAATGAAAAGTTAACTAAAATGTAAGCCTTAAAGTGAGAATAACCTAAAATATAAGCCTTCTATTGAAAAAGTAAAAAATTCAGGCCTTATATTAATACAATTACTAAAAGTTAGGCCTTCTAGTAGAATTTTCCCGTTTTAAAATAATAAATAGATTCATTAATACAATTACTAAATAATAAGTGATGTAATTAATTGTAGGATATAATTGGAAATTACGTATATGTGTATATATAGTAATAATAAAACTTGAAAAGTTTGGGGGGGGACAATGGCCCCCCCTATTGTATGTGTAAGTCCGTCCCTCAATGAAGAATATTTTTTTTTTTTTTTTTAAAAAAAAAAGGTGGGATACACGAGATAATATATTTTGCTAAAATGTCATATTTAATATTAAAATTAATATTTTTTAATATGTAACAAAAACAAATAGGTCACAAACAAACTAATGAATCATAAATTATTGAACATTTGTACACAACGTTTTTTCATTTGAGTTGTTGTCGAGTCGTCGTCGCCGCGGACTAATATTTTCAAATCACTTCGGTTGGTGATACGAGAAACAACGACATATAATTGATCATGAGTGAAAATCTTGTTAAGAAATAAACCAAGATGCGGTGCCGATTGTCTCTTGCTCTTGTTTACTTTGCCTTCTTCAATGAAATCTCAAAACTTCGGAATATTTACAGATCGAATCATCTTGATTATGCGTTCACCCTTAACGATAAATTTAAAGAACTTTATTATAATACACATAAATAATATTTATAAAAACAATAGAATGTCAAAATTGTCTCTTTGGTGCCAAAGTCCATCTCCAAAAAATTCTTTTATTCGGCATCAAATTGTCTCTCAAACACATTGATTACCCTTAATTTCATATCAGGTTTGTTGTTGCGAGTGACACCTTCCAGTTTATCCGAAACCAGCACAATTTTCTTTTTCGAAAAAAAATGAAGCAAGAGGAGAGTAGTTGATGAAGACGAGATTGTCCTCGCATTCTTGGATCGACATGATCGATTAGCATCTTTAGTTTAATTTGTTTATGCCTATTTTTATTATTAGTATTATTTCCTTTATTTCCCAATTTTTAGAAAATAGGTAATTATCTCCTTCTTTATTCCTTTTTTCTGTTAGTCAAGATAAGTTTTTAGTAGGAAGAGGACTCTTATTCTTATTTATGGGACTTACAATACAGATGAATGGCAGATTTTGAAGAATAAAAAATATCACTATTCGTGAATTCAATCTTGTTCCCTTTCTTATTGCTTTTACTGCATCAGTTAGTATCACGAGACCAGACACGATCCAAGATGCCTCTAAAGAAAAACACTGTCGATGAGCAACGAGATGCGGCGATTGAGGCACTCTTCCACATGTGCGATACGTCCGACCGTCTCATGGAAGCGGTAACCGGGAGGATCGAGGAACTAGCGTTGGCCGTCAATACTAACAATCACGGCAATCAGACGAACCGTGGCCGTGGCAGACGGCATGGGGGAGCACGCGGTGGTCGCGGCCGGGGAGAACGCTGTGCGCCCCGCACCCGGTTTCCTCCTTCGTGGGACAGACACGGTGAAGACAAAGACACCGTCTCCGACGTGAACCCGTTTGGGCATCCAGACCGAGAGGATGATGTTCCAGATGATGAGAGGCGCTGGAAATCATCGTTTTGCGTGGATATTCCAGAATTTGCCGGCGGCCTTGAGGCGTCGGAATTTCTGGATTGGATAGCCGCAGTCGAGTCTGCTCTCAACTTCAAGGAGGTTCCTGCAAACTGGCAAGTGGAACTAGTTGCGACTCGATTTCGCGACAGGGCAGCCGCATGGTGGCAGCAACTCAAGGCCACGAAATGCAGACTGGGATAATCTAAAATCACATCCTGGAGCAAGTTGAGAAAACATCTCGACCGTGAGTTCCTTCCTTACAATTATATGCATACTCTTTTCATACAATTTCAAAAGCTCAAGCAAGGGCAACGTTCTGTTAATGAGTATACCGAGCAATTCTATCGGCTTCTCACACGATTGGATGTCCGGGAGACGCCGTATCAACTAATCTCTCGGTATATTGGCGGACTTCGTTTACCAATCCAGGACACGCTGATATTGTTCTCTCTAGATTCGATTTCAGACGCCCATCAGCGGGCCCTTGTTGTCGAACAGTAGATGACCTGCTGCGCACCGATAGCCTTTTTTTCCGGCCAGAACGGGTCAATACAGTTCGGGTTCACTTCTGGAGTTGAAAAGGAAAGTGTGAAAGATTTGTTGTAAGTTTGGGGATGGGATGTTGGAGGGGTTCTTATATTATATGGGCTTCATATGATTTGAAAAATAGGAAAAAAAAATAAAATAAAAAAATAAAATGTGATGTCCAGAGGCTTCCAAATGGATTGAAAGCACGTATGACAATTTTGAAATAGCAACTCGTGTGGAGACTTGGGGAATAAGTAGAGATGAATATATGGACTAATGTTAATAGCTTTGTAGATTTTGGTTTTCTAGAATGAATAGCATTAGAGAGAAGGATAAATAAATTGTATTGCTTGTCTGAATGGAATTCTTGTTAATAAAATAATATGTACATTATAGAAAAGAAAATTACCAAAAAAAAAAAAAGTCAAAAGGAAGAATTCTATTAATACTAAACACGAGAAACACTAGGTTAGGTAGCGAAATGGTTAATGGATAATGAGGTTTTGTAGGAAGTTAGAAAATATTGTTAGTGATAAACACGCAAATTGGGATGAAGAATATTTCTTTCTTAAAAAAAAAAAAAAAACGTGGGGAACACGAGATAATATATTTTGCTAAAATGTTTAACATATTTAATATTAAAATTAATACTTTTTTAATATGTAACAAAAATAAATAGGTCACAAACAAACTAATGAATCATAAATTATTGAATTTAACACTTACTTGTACACAAGGTTTTTTTCATTTGAGTTGTTGTCGAGTCGACGTCGCCGCAGACTAATATTTTCGATTCACTTCGTTTGATGATACGAGAAACAATGACATATAATTGGTCATGAGTGAAAATCTTGTTAAGAAATAAACCAAGATGCGGTGCTGATTGTCTCTTGCTCTTGTTTACTTTGCCTTCTTCAATGAAATCTCAAAACTTCAGAATATTTACAGATCGAATCATCTCGATTATGCGTTCACCCTTGACGATAAATTTAAAGAACATTAGTATAATACACGTAAATAATATT